TCGACTAGTTTCTGGTCTCTTTGCGTAAGTTGTTTCGGACTGAGAAGGCCCCACTGAGTTAAAAGGACGGACTTCGTCGTCAAGATTTGAAGGGAATCAGGGACGACGACTTTGCGTGAACAAAAATTCGGGACCGAACCTTGACTATACGACATGTTCGAGAACAGTGTGGAATTAGTATGATTATAAATAATTATGATTATTCTCTTTAGATCCGTAGTAATTCGACTTTCAGTAATCACAGGTGTAGTATACATATCCCAATAAAGAACTATAAGTTTGTGTAAAATTTTCTTCTGGACTTAACCGATTTATTTTACTTATACATAAATCCGCAATTCGTTAGAGTAAAAGGAAATATATGCGTATTTAGTCACGTAATCTTGTGATGAATTCACTTAATTTTAATTTCTCTTCTTGGTTGACTGCAAAAAAAGAAAAATCCAAAACAGCCATCTACGAATTTTTGGAAAAAAAGATAACTAACAGTTACATGCAATCGGTGATTCTTGTACTGAAGTGAGACTCCTTTGCCCAATTTGGAATGCTGGTAAACGTAAGAAAACGGAGAGAGCTTTCCCGAGAAAGGCCGCACGAGATTATGTGTATGTCACGGGGTGCGATGTGAGGCAACAATATAATTCGTGAATATTTGCGAAAAAAAGAAATTTAAGTTACTTCATCATACATGATGTTGGCCTTAGTTGCAAGAACGATTGCAAATGATTCCAGTGTTGACTGTCAGAGTAACCTTGAATATGACAAACTTATAAAACTTTGATGTCAATTAAGATAATTCCCGGAAATGAAAACAACCACTTCCTGTTTTCTGGGAAAAGCTTCAAGGCTGATTAACCGATTCGGGAAAGTCCCTTATGAGCTGTTTTTGCATGACGGAAAAGGATGTGGCGCTTGCTGATTCGCTACAAAACTTTTCAGATTTGAAAGGTCAGCTTTATATTTATAGCAGTCATAAAGTTTTGCTTACAAACCTCCTAGCCCTTCGATTTCTCTGATTATGGCTCGTTGTCCGTTTGAATTGACACTGAAGAACACAGGACGGATTGCATTTGGCGTTATCTTGGTAATTCAAGCAATTTTCCTCGCTTGCTACCCTGGCGAGTATGAAAATTCTAAATGGTACAGTTTATTAACAGTTTTCCTCCCAGCACTTGGTGCGTGGTCTTTGCTGTTACGTTTTGAGAAAGCCACACTTCGTTGGCTGTTATTAGTCTGGAGTCTCTACATTGCTGCCTTGATAGTGAACATCGGGATCATTTTTGGATTGGTTGGAGACAAACTTGGCACCAAGAAGTTCCCGAGCTTGGGTCTCTTAAAGGGAATTCTATGCCTCACGCCTCCTCTGTTATTGCTGTTGCTACATAATGCAGATGACCTGGATCGATCTCAAGGACGTAAAGATTTAATGTTCAAGCTGTCTTTTCAAATGGCCATCGATCTGTTCGATGTTATTGACATGATTGACATTGTTTTGGATGACATAGGACGTGTGAATGAAGCTCGGAGCCTACCGGCAGATGTTATAGCCACATTAAACAAAACCCTTAAGGAGACTCTACCAAGCTTCACACTCAACTCCACAGGTATATTAACCTCGGAATTGAACAAAAGCCTTGCAATACCTCCAGTATTCGGTAGAGTGATGATAGGAGTCGCATGTTTCAGTCTCATGTTGTCTATATGGCAATGGGCTGAAAACAAGCTCTCCACGAATGACACGGGGATTCAATTTCGAACAGCAGTTGCACGCAACGTTCTAGAGGTGATATTCGTCAATTTCTTTTTCTTGATCATCCGTGGAGTGGTTTTTTTTATGTACGGCCAAGACGACTTTGTTTTTATAGCCAAGAATTTCATCGCAATAATTTTTTCAATTTTGGAAATTCACGCTCTTTGTCAATCGCATTCAACCACGTTTGTAAGTCTATGTAAAGTGGAATGGCGAAAATGTTCTGCGCGACTCAGAGAGTTCAAAGGGCGACTGAAACGATGTATAACTTGCAGATAATGATTTAACCGAATCACAATTATGTTATAAGAATTAATAAGTGTAGGAAAAAACACTTCTCGGCGCTGTTCAAACATTTTTTTGGTATAACAACATGTAATGATTACAAACTTTCATAGTCCATATTGGTAATAAAAATCAATTTTTGTGGTTCAGTTTTATTACTGTTGTTCACTTTAGATAACGTAGTAAGTTGATTCGCTGTCTATGATTATATTTGGAAGTATTCTGGCTGGTGGTTTAAACTAGAAAAAAGATATTCCCGCCTACTTCAAGAACTTATATGCATTCTGCAAGAAGAAATAGAGAATATCTATACTATCCATTTTTTTAATTATTTGCCATCTTCCAGTTCTTCTCTTTTGAACGGAACGCTATTGATTATACTTAAGCTGAAACTACGGTGGGATTCAGCGTGAACTGAAGACGTGCGAGACCACTTCATTAGTTGTGATGATACTGCCAACATAATTTCAGAGTGGACATTATTTCAGCTTATTGTCTCAGCATTGATTTCATCATGGCCTGATCGATTTTCTACCGCCAAATTAAAATTTACAATAAAGACCTCGTGAGTTCCATAATTTGATAAACTGATTAATTTTTTGTGGAAAAACTAATGGCTTTGAAATAAATGAAAAATTAAAGTATTTGTACTCCATATAAGTTGAAAGAAGAGTTTTGGGTTGATATTTTGTCGTCCGACATGTTTGTAATTTGACGTCAGTTGAGGAAAATGCTAAACGTTTTGGGGGTGTATATTTTCTCTGTTTTCATTCAGTAGCTACCCTATCATAATGATGAACAGCATACGTGCGTGGTATCCTGGGGTCTTCGTAAGCTGATATTCTCAATCTGAAAATGAAAGGTCGAAGACATTCGTGATGGGGAAAATCTGTAAAAATTTTAATTGCTCTGTGAGCACGCTCATTAATGACAGTAAGAGTAGAGAGTTGCCGAATCAGTTTTGGTAAATCGCTTACAGAGCATCTCTGAAAAAAGGGTCAAAATCAGTCAAGGGAGAGCGTGACGTTTTCATTTCAGACTCAGTGAATCCGAAATAGTGGGGAAACCCCCAAAAACATTATATCACTGATATCGATATATATGAACTTTTTCACGCAAAGATAATATTTCCAGAAAAAGCTTCAGCTCTTCCGGGAAAGTCCATTTCAGTTTATTTACATCTGGATTACATCTTTGCAAAAAAAATTGTTTTGTTGAAGAATTTTAATATATTCATCTACTTATGCTATCAGCAAGAGTATGTCGGTCTCTGATATACAAGGTAATTACCTCCATCTCGTCCCTGCATGTTTATATCAACCTTTCTTTACACGCAGACATCCTCGATCCTCGACGCTGGGAAAATACCTATGACTGAATTAAATTATATCAAACTTGCGTGACGCATTGCGATTTGGCGCTTCCTTATTGGCCAGTCGCTATAAGAGCCTTCTTTGATAAGTAAACACGTTTCGCTGCGAAGGTTGTCAATTTCTAGTGATGGCGTCGCGTTGGATGTTCGTAGGCCGTTTGGCATTTGCTCTTCTCCTGCTCACCCAAGGGGGATTTTTAGTCGCTTATTCCGATGATGATGCAGTTAGGGCAAATGATGATGATGCAGTTAGGGCAAATGATGATGATGCAGTTAGGGCAAATGATGATGATGCAGTTGAGCGCAAAGATCTAGTGTCTAAGCTTTCCTATCAAATGGCCATCGATCTCTTCGACGTTGTGGATATGATAGATATCGTCTTGGAAGACAAAAGACACGGGAGTGCGAATTGCTCGTGTACAAATACTATAATAAATGAAACCAACCTGACAAGTGCAACTTCAAGCCTCAAAACAATTCCTGAAAGTTTCGGAATAGTCATGGTTACAGTGGCATCTCTCAGTCTACTTATGTCACTTTGGCAATTGTTTGAGAACAAGCTATCAACAGATGACACAAAGATTCGCTTCCGAGCGACAGTTCTTCGCAATTTGGTAGAGATAGCTTTGGTTAATTTCGTCTTCTTGATCATTCGCTTAGTGGTGTACGCTGAGTACCGCAGAGATGAGTCTATCTTTATTGCAAAGAATATCATATCAATAGTTTTGTCCATTTTGGAAATTAATGCACACTGTGCATCACATTCCGTCAAATTTTGGTCTGAGTTATGCAAAAGTTGTTTTGGACTGAGAGTGGTCTAAAATGGCAAGCAGTGTTTGTTGTCATTATTTACACATAGCGAAATCGGTTTAGAGACAACTTTGTGAAAACTGCTAAGACATTATTTAGTTATCATTATTGTTATTGTAGTAATTTTTTACTATTATATCGCTGTATGATGGTAGACATTCCTGCTCCTGTTTTATAGTTGTGACTTAAGTGATATCTCATGCATGATTAATGTGTGCGGCGCTTCTAAAGCCGAGGTCAAATACAAGGTAGCGTTGTAAGTTTTAAAAAAAATCCTACAAGTTTTGCTACTTTATACTCTTTTACTACTTTTTAAGGTTTAAATTTACTGTAACATAAGATATATGATGTCATATCTGTCGAGAAATTAAGACTATACCAGACTCTTGATGTGTAACTGAATGTGTAGTCATGAAATGATTAAACAGCGTCACCCAAATCGATCACCAAACTACGGTTACAAACATTAAGAACTGTGTTTCTCACAGTGTTCAAATATTTAATTTTAACATGGTGACCCACAAACTAAAAAGACAGCCATCTCAGTGGGTTATAATCAATGAATTTAGTCTTTAGACTTTTTAAACGAATAATAGAAACACTTACAAACTTACACCTTTGACTTTGCCTGCCAAGAACTATTACGAATGCACGGTAAACTATTAATTCGAACTGCAAAAGATTACGCACAAACTTCAATGATGTTGATGGGGAGTTCATACTCTACTAAAAAATAGTGTTCGAATGCAGAAGTTTATTTTTCAGAATGTTTTTAAAATTCTTGTCCTATGACACACGAGAGATTTTTTTTCTAGAATTCTTTAAAAACGGAAAACGGCAATTTTGTTTTTTCTGGAGTGGAAGGCTAAAATGTTCGAATTCGTTTAACTAACGAAAACGATGGAAGGGCAGTCATGATTATATGCAAATTTTGTATCCTACGTAATTCAGGGGAGGTGCTTAACTCGACAGTTGCTCTTATTACGTCACTTACCAAAAGCTATCGGGCTTTTTATTTGTATTTGTTCACATCCGCTTTTCTCGGAAAAGATTACTTCATTGTCTTACGCTTTCTCAGAAACCACGTTCTTGAATTATGCTCAAAGTTTATTTTGATGCAACAGCAGTAACTTTGCTATAGGAGCTTCTAGAGGCGAAAGTTATCGTAGAAGTGCCTTAAAAGATTATCTTTATCATGGCCTCTTGGTTAGTCTGTATTGGGAGATTCCTTTTCTTTGGCTTGTTAGGCCTCCAGGCCTTCTCGCTAGCGTCGTATCCTGCCGAGTACAAAAACGAAGATGGTTTCTATGGACTAGTCCTCCTGTACGGTCCTGCAATGTTTCTTTGGCTTTATATCATGTGCGATGACAAAAACTTACCATGGTTATTTGCTGTTTGGATATGTTATATCTTTGGTTTCGTGATTTTCATCCTAATCATATTTGGCGGCGACAAACCGATAGAAGATAAGCTCGACAAAGCGGAGTTCTTCGGTCCAAACAATCTAAAGATGACACTTTGCCTTGCCCCAGTGATTTTGTTGTTGCTTTTGAGTACTGGAACAGATTCCAACAGCTACAGAGATCAAATCTGGCAGATATCCCTACGAATGGCTCTGGATCTCTTCGATGGAGTTGAAATGCTGGAAGTTATCATCGAAGAAAATGAAGTCAGCCATGGCGTTCGAAAGTCCTTTGAAAAAGCCATACTCGCTTTTGTCTGTATCAGTTTTATCCTCTCCCCATTGCAACTGGTTGAGATAAAGTTAAGGAGTTCCGATTGGTGGGGACTTCGGCATAGATGTAGAGAAGGTTTGCGAACAGCCCTACAGATCATCTGTGTTAATTGCGTGTTTTTGGGGCTTCGCATGTATCTATGGCGGGGCTTCGGAAAAGATGCCTCTATTTTTATCGCTAAAAATGCTATTGTCATTTGCCTTGGCCTTTTCGAGGTATGTTCAATCGGTAAATGTTGTGGTTGTGACGATTATTGAGCATAATTTTACATAGAATCGCCCAGTAATCAGTATAAACTTGACAATCTTTCTGGGAAAGCCATGGAAAAATTTGAAATAATTATCGTGAGCGTTTCATTAGAAGCAAATATCTTTAAATGATTTCATTTTTATCTAATACTCTCTTCTTAATATTAGTCTTGGATTTAAGATAGAACTTGACTCGTTTTGGATTTGTTCTATGGACCAGATGTCTTGACGATGACCCTTTGCCTAACTCCGCTCCTTTTGTTGCTGTTGCTTAACACATATGAAACGAAAAGTAAAGACAGAGAGTTCTTATTAAAACTGGCCTTCCAAATAACATTAGATCTCTTCGACGGAATTTAAATGCTGCAAGTTTTTCTGGAGGGAAATGAACTTGGCATTCCCAAGCGCTTTGAGGCAGCTATCATTGCCTTCGTTCGCATAAGTTTTGTCCTTTCGAATTTTCAATTAGAGGAGAACAGGATTTCGGTCTATTTACAAATACACAGCCTTCATCCGTATCACCCTTCAGATTTTACTCAGTAATTGTGAGTTTTTAGGCCTTCGTTTGGCTCTGTTCTTTAAGTTCAAGAGAGATGCGTCAATTTTCATTGCCAAAAATGGCATTTTGATCAATCATAGGATTTTGGAGATTTTTCAGTGTTGTAAGGGTTAGTTGGGAAGTGTAAGAACCAGGAAAGACTTGAATCAAAAGCGCGATCACATATTCGACAACTTTAAGCTCCTTCGCAAAGTTGTGTATTTTTCTAGTTTGTTGATCCTTTAGCCGTTCGTCGGAGTCTGATTAAATTAAAATTTGTTTTTTTTAACATAATCGCGTGAGTGTGCCTGATTTGCGGTTTATAATGTCACTTTACGTAAACAATACAGGGAGAGGGAGGGGAGAATGGTGACATTGGCACCTTCTATGTATGTTTACATAAAACAACGGCCCCTTTCCCCTCCACTTTCGCTCCCGCCAAAGCCTTTCACAGGAAACAGACTTGCTATCTTTTTTACGTTCTGAGCCCCGCTGAGTTTTCAGAAAGCCTGACCACTTCTGGGTTGCTTAAAATGCTTCAAATATCTCTCGAAGGGTTGAATACATGAGCCAGCTGAAGTGGTTAGCTAGTGAACCTTCAGGCTCTCAGAAAAAAGTTGTCTCTCAGGAGTTGTAAATTGATTGATTGGTTGAAAACATTATTTAAACAAAGTTAAAAATTCCATCGGCATAATTACAAGTAAAACATATAATTCTGTTTAGCTAATATAACTAGTAAAATAAATAAAATCTAAATGTCCTCAGGTTAATGCCATGCCTCAGCTGTGATAAATTTAATTAAAGAAGCTGTAGAACGCATATCTTGGGATAGGCTGTTAATCTTCCACACCTCAGCACCTTTTTAAGAGAAACTTCTTTATAAATAATAAGCGCGGTGCTCCAAGTCATGGTGCTTTAAAACTTGAACTTGAAATTTTGTCTGATATTGCTGATATATCAACCGGATCCCTTATGAGCATTCCCTTCAAAACTCCAGTTTTCCTTTTCCCTACATTGTTTTTCTTTTGTATTCTCATATTTTTCGTGACAAAGATAGTTTTTCTTAGAAATAGATTAATGATATTGTTCATCAACTGATACAAGACTTCAAGTTCTCTTGAAAAGAGTGAGCCCCACAGATTTTCTTTGAAGAAATGTGAATTTATTCACATGTTTAATTCACTGTCCTATTCGTGGCTGATACATGTATAGAATATAGTTCCATTATTCACGAGGAGAAAAAAAATTGAGGCAAAGTCATTTAGGTACACCTGATACAAAAATTAGCTTCCAGGTCTGCGCAATTCACAAGCCCTTGAGTTCAAACATTCTTTCTATCACATGCCTACGACTGGATACAACACAATAAAATTATCTCTATAAGATATATTTGAGATACATGAAAAAAGTAATTGTAAGCTTTCTGTACAGTTTGCAGAACCGAAAAAATAAAACTGTTAAGGAAATAAAAATAGGCTACTCGTATCAGAGTACAGGAGACTGAATAAAATGGGAATTGTATAAGATATATCTGAGATACATTAAAAAATTAATTTTTAGCTTTATGTACAGTTTGCACAGCCGAAAAAGTAAAACTGTAGAGGAAATGAAAAACAGTCTACTTCTATTAGGTTACAGGGGACTAATTAAAGTGGCAATTTGTTGCTTGCAAAATGTGATATAAAAATAAAAGTGCATTTTGAGATCTTAACATGAAATCGAGGAGCTACAAAAATATACCTATTCTAAACTACTCGGTCTTCTTGTTTGGCCCGATGTAAACGGAGTAGATTACGAATTTCCAAAATGGAAAGTACTATTGCTATGCCATTCTTGGCAATGAAGATCAACTCGTCTTTGCCAAACATAAAGAACACCACCGCACGAATAACCAAGAATGGTAGATTTACGAAAGCTATTTGAACAATATTGCGGCATAATGCGGTACGGATACGAATTTCCGGCCCCTCTTCGGTAAGTTTGATTTCTACCATTTGCCAAGGAGATTCCAATATACTGAGGCAAGCTAACACGATCATTGCTGTACTGAAAGCTTTGGGTATTCCAAATTCGTGCTCTCTTTCTTCTAACACGATATCTATCATCTCGATTCCATCGAACAGATCGACGGCCATGGGAAAACACAACTTGGAAACAATCTCTCTTTCTTCGTCGTCTGAATCATCGAGATCGCCTGTGCAACAGTAGTAGCAGAAGTGGTGTAATGCACAGAACCATCTTCAATACATTTGGTCCTAAAAACTCGGTCTTGTCGATTCTATCTCCGACTTTTTCAAATACCATTGCGATGTTTAGAACCAAAGCCATAATATACAGGCCCCAAATTCGAAAGAGGCAACCAAGGTACAGCGCTTTGAAAATTAGAAGAAGAACCCAAACAAAGACTGCTGGGCCAAAGGAAAAGGCCATAAAATACCAATTGGATGTGCCTTCATACTTCCCGAGGTAAGCAGATAAAAGCATGCTCTGTGTAATCATCAGACAAAAGAAAGCCAATCGTCTAAGCCATATTGTAAACGAAGCCATTATTTTATGTATGAAAGCTGTCTGAAACTGGAAGAGGCAAATTGTACTGACTAATGCAATAGGAATTGATACCGTATATTTGCATGAAAAATTAAGCAGCGAATGAAATAACGCCACAACGATCTTGATCAAATGATGCTAATAGGAATAACCCGAATATTTCAGAAGGTCACATGCAAAGACTGATTCCATAAGTAATTTGGTCACTGCTGGGGACTTGATATTCCTACGTAACTTCTTTAATCTGCAGTTCTGTTTCTTTATAATTGTTATTTATTTCCTTTTTTTTTTTCACTCTCTCTCAATAAAAAAAAAAAAACTCTAAAGATTTTAAACTAAGGAGGTTTTTTCTAGAAAAATTAATTCGCTGAAAATCTGAACCTGTCAAAATAACCATTTCCGAGAAACCTTGCCAGGTGACATATGGAGTTTCTAAGAAAAATGTCGCATAACAATGATTAGGGGATTCCCCGAACACCACTCACTTTCATGGATTATGTCATTACGATGAAGCCATGTTTGATCGATATAAATTTCATTTGGAGTTTCCTCTTTTATTCTCTTCAACTTCATTTTCTAATATTTTCTCTCACTGTAACATTTCCCACAAATTTTTCAAAGCTGCACCAGGCTTATTTTTCCGAGGAATTGGTTTGCTGATAGTCAGTTTCTGGGAATTCCCCGAAAAGCTGTCTGATAATTAGAAGGATCTTGATGAAGAATAACAAAACGTGCGACATTATGAAAATAATTTCCAACGACTTCTCTTAAATCTTGGATATTTTTTTGGGGGAGTTTCTTTGCTTAGTGAATGACGTTCAGCTTGCATAAGATGATCAACTTGGTCTGACAGATCATCGGAGTCTAACAAAACACCGAAGCTTTTTCTGCATAATTGTGTTTAATAACTTTTAGAACAAATACCAACTCGTTACATTTTTAAAAACAGAAAGTCAGAAACTACACTGTTTAGAGGGCCAAAATAATAATATTTCGCAAAGAGAAATCTTCTCGCAAAGAGAAATCTTCTCACAAACACAAATGTTGCAGTATTACAAACAGGCCCTAAACTGATGAATGAGACCCTCTTGCCTCGTCAGCACTATTTTGTACAATACTTCTGTTTCAATTGTGTGTGAGGCGAAGCCGCCTGCAGCTAAATCGGAGTGTCATTCCTTAATTTTATTCACAGTATTTCATTTCGGTCCGTGAAAGATCATGAACGAGGTAGGCAATTTCTACATTTACAATTCTAAAACCTTTTTTTCTCGTTTTCCTCATAGCTGGTGATGATTCGAATGAACCGAAGGATATCTTGTTTTAATAAAGAGATGTCATCGTTCTTTCAGTTTCGGAATATTTTAAATTTTTGGTCACGGCGAGTCTCTAGTATCTGAGAAACTGAACAAATGGCTGTCGATAATCATCGAAATAAAATACGTTTGTTCAGTTTCCTTTCCTTAGCTACAATTCCAAATTGTATACGTCTCGGTTAAGTTCATTTCACATTCTCAAATTAGCTCTTTCGGATCTAGTAGATCTGCATCGCGGAGAGAAAAATGAGCATCAATTTCTTACTTTGTGAAGAGAAACAGTTCTCTTGTGGAGTTTATTCTTCGCGATTTACAGCAAAGTCAACAGAAAGCTCACGCACGCCGCCGCTCATCGCATACCCAAACAGCGTCCAGGCCAGGGTTTCGTTGTCTTTGTGTTTATCCACATCGCTCACTTTATTCGCCAGAATGAGAAGGCAACGGGCGTGTTGCACAGGATTACTTTCAAACAGGTCAGGAAGCTCTTCTTGTCGAGTAGGTCTCCACGCAACGCAAAAATGATGGCGATGTAAGGGATCAAACCGAATGCAATGTAGAGACCCCACGTGCAGAATGATAGATTTAACTGCGTGGTTGTGAGGTGAAATGTGAGAGTGAATTGAATGCGATCACCATTTTCCTTCTGAGCCTTTGGAAGTGCTGATTGTCGATCAGTTTGTTGGGCGCGGTGGTGGTGCACTTAAGCGAAAGAAACAGGATAGTTACGTTTATCGAAAAACTGGTACAATGCCCAATGCCTCTGAGTTTTCGGAAAAATCAGAGTAGTCACTACATAAACGACGAAGTCTGAGAAACTTCGGAAAGGGTATGGAATTTTTGATGTGTGATGGATGCGAAGGTGAATACATTAAGTAACTATATATTTGAATCTGTAGGTTTGTGGTAACCGCTAAAGCATAGACCGTTGCCTTCAATTGAAATTTGATGACTAGAAAAACCAAAGAAGTGTTCTTAACAACTTTAAATTAATTCAAAACGATTCAGAGACTGGTACTATCTTTTCGCAATGCGCTCCATCATGATGCATAATTTTCCTTCCATTCATAACGCAGAGAAAATGTCGACTCCATGTTTCCGTTATGTTTAACATGCACAAAAAGTGGTCCGGTTCCGTTGTATAGGCAGCAACGGAAACGCGAGAAAACGTCACGAAACCGGTAACGGAAACACAGGTTATCCGTCGTGTTTCCAGAACGGTTTAACATGTTTCTGCCACGTTTCCGTTTACGGATTCTTGCAATTTCGTCCTGTGCTACAAAAATGTACCTTTTCTAAACTACTTGGTCTTCTTGTTCAACCCGACGTAAACGGCGTAGATTACGAATTTCCAAGATGGAAAGTACTATTGCTATGCCATTCTTGGCAACGAAGGTCGACTCGTCTTTGCCAAACTTAATGAACGCCACCGCACGACTAACCAAGAATGGTAGATTTACGAAAGCTATTTGAACAATAGTAGCAGAAGTGGTGTAATGCACAGAATCATTTTCAATACATTTGGTCCTGAAAACTCATTCTTGTCGATTCTATCTCCGACTTTTCCAAATACCATTGAGATGTTTACAACCAAAGCCACAAGATACAGACCCCAAATTCGAAAGAGGTAGCTAAGGTACAGCGCTTTGAAAAGTAAAAGAAGAATCCAAACAAAACTGCTGGGCCAAAGAAAATGGTCGTGAGATACCAATTGGATTCGCCTTCATACTTTTCGAGATAGGCAGATAGAAACATGCACTGTGTAGTTATCAGACCGAAGAAGGCGAATCGCCCGAGCCATGTTAAAAACGAAGCCATAGTTATATGTATGAAAGCTGTCTGAAACTGGAAGAAGCAAATCGTATTGACTACTGCAATAGGAATTGATGCCGTATATTTTTAAGAAAAACTTGGCAGCGAATGAGGTAACGCCGCAGCGATCCTGATCGAATGATGCAAAAGGGAATTACCTGAATATACCAGAAGCTCACATGCAATTAGTGCTATTGCCTTTGCGATCTCTAAGGAAAGGAGAAACTTCCAGTGAAACTGCCCGATGACTTCTCGGCGAAAAAATCATCGTGCCTCGTGATACAACTGATTCTTTCGTCAAAAGTTAGCTTTTGGTTTGCTGAGGGAATTACTCAACAACAACGAAACTCTAAAGCACTGACCAAGGGTGGTCCATAACAATTTATTCCTTCGCACTCAGTGCGAAGGAACAAAATGTTATGGCAACAGAAACGAACACAGCTACCTAGAAAACAGAACACAAACGCACCAAACTAAGCATTCAGTAACGGGAGTTTTTTGTTATAATCTTGTCAATCTTTGTCAAAATCTTCGTTTGATGCACGCGGTTCTCCTTTGTAAGGCCAAACCGTACTCGCAACTTCCATTTCTTCTCTACCACTTGAGTAGCATGTATCACAACTCTCGGTTGAGGTTGCTGAAGGTAGGTATACATCGCAATCCGAAACTATTTTAAGAGTATTTCAACGCTAACTGATACAAAATTACAAGAGATGTGAGAGATTTGTAAGTGTCAACTGAGAGCTTTCACAGTCTTCTACGTCATCACACACTAATTCGTTACCAGCCCGCAGGGCACTTTTAAGACAAAATAAGAGCAATTAAGGGTCCTTAAGGGCCGCAAAAATCCAGTTTTAAGTTTTTTGAAATTTTTATTTTATCGTAACTGGTTTGTTTATACGATAAGCTAAATATTTACCCCGGAAAAACAATTTGTGTCATTGGCACGTTAATCTATGGCTCTGTCTTTTTTATTTACTTATTTATTTATTTGTTCTGTTTTTACTCTCGATTAAAAAAAGGGTCTTGATTTTGAATTAACGAGATATTTACAAGAAGAATTAGTTCGCTGAAAATCTGGACCTGCCAAATGAGCCATTTCCGAGAAAACTAAGCCAGTTGGTATATGGAGTTTCCAAGAAAAATGTTGAATAACAATGATAAGGCGATTCCCCGAACAAGACTCGTTTTCACGGACTGCGTCAGGACGATGAAGCCATCTTTGATTACTTCTAATCCGTTCTTCTTAGAGTATTTATATAAATTTCATTTGCAATTTCTTCTTTTATTCTCTTGAGCTTCATTTTCTAATATAAACGTTTGAAATTTGCTGTGTCATCGTTTTAAATTTGGAAATTACGTGTCAGAAACCTCGTGTAATAAAATCTTCCCGTAGTAGGTAATTTCTATTTTTGCATCAACCAATACTATAATAGCTTCATGTGATCTTATTCCAGGAACTCACGTGCCAGGTGGTGTGCGAACTCTGATTGCGTTGCATCATGGTCGTAACACGAAAAGCGAGTCATTAGCATCCTCTTGCGTTCGGGTGAACATCTCTGGTGGCAGCAAGATAGCGCGAAAAAAACGTGGAATGTAATGGGGATTCACTGTCTGTGGCCATTCCCTCGAAAGTTAAAAAGTGTTGGCAGGCCTGCGCGACTCCTGTTATTCCTCCGTGACAAATTCGTTGTTAGGAGGCAACTGAAGAGATTCAGAAAGAATCGAAACTGCAGCCTTGCTCAAGAATCTACTCATTTGGCAGCAGTCACACTCACAGCCGGTGGCTGTGTGAATAATATCAAATTCGCGAGTTATTTAACAGGGAATCAACCCTTGACATGCAAACTCATTACAAAGAGACAGCGACCTTCTAATATACGAACTATTTTTCATGTCATACACTTAAAGGCGTAAATATGGGATTCGCAAAAGGAGAAGCGTTACGCCATCAAGACCAAATTCATCACGCTCAACGTTTAATAAAAGAACATAAAGATTTTCAAATATGCTTAAAAGAATAGAGAATACTTAGAATAAGTTTTTGATAACCGTATCTCTGGAGTTATCTTCTGCGGGAGAGACAATATACTTGAAAACAAAGAAAATAGCGCGCACACATGAAAATATTACCTTTTGTAACACAATCTCATTCGGCTTTGCCAAACCTCAGGAACACACAGAGAGGGAAATTACACCTTAAAACTAACCCTTACTATCGCATCGCAAAGGAAAGTCATTAAAAGATATCTTAATAACAGCTAAGTTTTCAGGTCAGAAGATTTAAAAGTGCAAGCGAATGGCAAGAGTCTCACAAGCCTATCAACACCTTTTCACGATCGACTGCATTTTGCTTTCCAGGTTAATCGACGTGTCGCCGTGTACATTGTAGAGTTATCCAGTGGTCAAGTGACTTCTTTAATTGCTCTAATTCAACTGTCCTTCATTCAATTATCAAGAAAGTAGATTTACCATACAACACTCGCGATTAGTTAATTTGCTTTTACTTGGGAAAGTAGATTTACGAGACAATTGAGTATACAATACTAACGCTGTGTAACGCAACAATAGGCCTTTCTTGGTCATAATCGGTCTCAAACACTAGCACTTCAAATGCGCTAAACACATGTACCGTTGGAGAGCGTTTGAGAGCGTTTGAGAGCGTTTGGTCAGAGCTGTTGAAGAAGGATCAAAGTCGCCCTCAAAATCTTTGAAAGGCTCCAAAGTACGACGTACATCAAATTTGACCCTCTCGAAGACTGGTCTCAAATTACATACTAAAAAACAGTGATTGCGTTTGTCCTTGAGAACCATAGAATACGCGACAAATACGTACAAAAAATACTTTTACACATTCAGAGTAAATCAGGTTATATTTATCTATGGTGAAAGGAAAAAGGAGCGTCGTAACTTTTACAGAATGTTCAGTCAAAATGTGCCGATTTCTGCGGCTTTCACCGCCATATTAAAAACGAAGCTACCACAATGCAACGCAATCGGGGTGCGCACACCGCCTGCTCACGTGCTAAGACTAATTGCATACATAATTTGGCCACTGCTGGAGACTTGATATTCTTTTGTATGTAGCTTCTTTAATCTGCGGTTCTGGCGTTTTCTTCGTATTCGTTCACATCCGCTTTCCTCGGAAAATATTACTTCATTGTATTGCTCTTTCTAGGAAACATTCTTGAATTCGACGTAAAGTTTATTTCGATGCAAGTATTATAGCATCAACTTTGTTATTGGACCTTCTTGAAGAAACACTTATCGTAAAGATGGCCTCGTGCTTAGTCTACATTGGCAGAATCCTTTTCTTCGTCTTGGTAGGTCTCCAGGCCTACTCGCTGGCTTCGTATCCTGCAGAATACAAACACAAAGTTAGTTTCTATGGATTGGTCGCCCTTTACAGTCCTGCAATTGGTTTATGGCTTTACATCATGTGCGACGACAAGAAATTACAGTGGTTATTTGCTGTCTGGGTGTGCTATATCGTTGGGTTTGTAGTCTTCGTTGGGATTATATTTGGAGGCGACGAACCGATTGAAGATATCCTTGACAAAGCTAAATTCTTCGGTCCAAACATTCTAAAGACGACACTTTGCCTTGCCCCATTGATTCTGTTGTTGCTCTTAAGTACGGGAACGGATTCCACCGTTTATCGAGACCTGATCTGGCAGTTGTCTCTCCGAATGGCGTTGGATCTCTTCGATGGAGTAGAAATGCTGGATGTCATTATTGAAGAGAATGAATTCAGCCATGGCGTTCCTAAAGGCTTTGAAAAAGCAATGCTTGCATTCGTCTGTATCAGCTTTCTGCTATCTCCATTACAACTGGTCGAGATAAAGATAAGAAGTTCCGGACGGTGGAAAATCCGTAGATGGGCAACAGGTTTGCGCACAACCTTACAAATTGTCTGTGTTAATTGCGTATTTTTGGGGCTCCGCATGTATCTATGGCGGGGCTACGGTAAAGATGCATCCATTTTTATTGCTAAAAATGCTATTGTCATTTGCCTTGGTCTCTTTGAGATATGTTCAATCTGCGAGTGTTGTGGTTGTGACGATTACTAAGCTAGATTTTGAGTAATGAAAGTAGAGTGCCTATGATCTTGATAATGTTGTTGTAACGAATTTAATAGGTTCGTTTTCTTAATGGTACAGGAAGTGTTAACTAAGTCTTCTTTTGTTATTCAACAGTAGTTTTCTACATATGAATTCATCCATTAAAGTGAATTCGTGTAACCCGTTCGCTATAAGCTAATGAGTTTGTCACTATATGCTAATGAGAGTAATGAGAGGAACAGTTAAGAGCGGTGGTAAACATTTAGTCAACTACGTCTTCACCGCTAAAACTTTCCCCGTGAAAATTCCCAATCAACCGATGCTGCAATAGGTTATGATTTTCTTCAGATGGTGGTGTCTGTAAAGTCGCAAAAAATCAGAAAAAGAAAAAATTAGCAGCGAATGAGGTAACGCCACATCGATCCTGATCAAATGATGCAAAAGGAAATTCCCGAATATTCCAGAAGCTCACATGCACAGACTGATTACATACCTAATTTAGTCACCGCTGAGGACTTGATATTCCTATGTAGCTTCTTTGATCAGCTGTTCTGCTTTTTTTACAGACTCTGAACTAACCAGGTTTTTTGCGATAAAAATTAATTCGCTGAAAATCAGTACCTGTCAAATAAGCCATTTCCGAGAAACCTTGCCAGGTGACATGTGGAGTTTCTAGGAAAAATGTCGCATAACAATGATTAGGGGATTCCCCGAACACCATTCATTTTCACGGATTTGTGTCATGACGATGAAACCATATTTGATTACTTCAAATTCGTTCTTTTTAGAGTATTTATATACATCTCATTTGCAGTTTCCTCTTTTGTTCTCTTTAACTTCATTTTCTAATATTTTTTTTGACTGCAACATTCCCGATAAATTTGTCAAAGCTGAACCCGACCTATTTTTTTGAGAAATTTGTTTGCTGATAGTCAGTTTCAGGGGATTCCCCAAAAAGCCATGGATCTAGGCGAAAGATAACAAAGCCTGCGACATTATAAAAATAATTTCCGGAGACTTTTCTCAAATCTTGGAAAGTTTGGGGAGTTTCTTTGCTTAGTGAATGACGTTTAGCTCGTATAATGAGATCAATTTGGTCTGACAGTTAGATTGTGAACTGTCTAGGTCAACAGACCATAGGGGTCTAAAAACAACACCAAAGCTTTTCTGCATAGTTTTTTTTTTTTAATCAACTGTTAGAATAAGGCTGAACGTACACTGTTTAGAGCAGCAAAATAAATAATACTTCGCAAAGAGAAATCTTCTCACAAACACAAATTTTGCAGTAACACAAACAATCCCCAAACTGATGAATGAAACCCTGTTGCCTCGTCAGCTCTATTTTACACAATATTCCTGTTTCAATTGTGTGTTAGGCGCAATTACCTAGGTGAGACGCTTCTATCAATGTTTCCGAGGTCGTTCTCCACCATTTGTAACAGGGTCAACAGAAAACTTAAGGAAGCCATGACGATCAATCCTGTCCCAAACTCTCTCGAAATTCTGAGACTATTTTCCTTGACGTCGATTTCAATGCCCAAGATATCTACTCCACCGAAAAGATCGATAGTTTCGTGAAGGACAACACCGTTGGTAAGGACTAGTACTCCTGAGATTCGTCCAAATTGCTGGCTGTATTCGACTCACTAAAACCGAAAAAACAAAAGGTGTAATGCAAGGAATCATTCTTAGACTAGTCCGGTTGGTTATCTTTTTGACAACCCTGAGAAGGCATTACTTGGCCGCGAGTTAATACGAATTTACCCTTGAGTTTCGACAATGTCTCTCACTCTTGAGAGATAAGAGAAACTCGCATCCACCAGCGGACAAATAATGTTCTGTTTAGTCTAGATCTATAGTTACTGAATACGTATTTAAACCTAAAACAATTTTTAAACACATAAGAACATCGTATGCAGAGAACACCAGCACATACAATCGCCTCACAGAAAAGCTAATTCAACGTCCGAGTAAATGTAAAACAAGCTCTCATTCCAAACATACAGCAAAGGTCGGTGTAAATAATTTAGTACTTTACTTAGAGTTCTGATATTGCCTTAGTAAAATTTTCAAATTGTTTACAGCATAATCATGCAAGCTACTGTCCATAAGTGTTAATATAAAAATTTTATATAAAAGCATGCTCCATCTGACGAGCGAATTACCATTATCAAACTTAACTAAACGTCTACCAAAATATCCTCAGGGAAAGTCTATTTATGCATGCTGAAAAAATGTAAAGCTGATAACTAAAAATCATCCACGCATAACAATTTACACTAATCAGTGCCAATGTACATTATTTTTCAGAAATGTATTTTTTTGCCCTCACAACACTCCTAGGTCTTTACACGGTTAAAAAGCTTAATCTCGTCTGAAATCGATTTTGTGGTTAATCAAAACTATAACAAAATTATTAAACGTGATTGATTTGAGCACCAATAGGACAGTGTATGCATCATGCTTTTAATTGCGCAATTGAATAGAACAGGTGACACGTCATGTCTGGTAAGTGGACAGTACGTGTCTTGAGCACTCGCTGTTGTTGTGCATTTCGGCGAGTTAGCGGTTGTTATTTTGATGAAAACGTATAACCGATGTCTAGCTGCTTTCTCAAACCCGTTATGGACAAATCAGACTCTCGCTTTGCGTTGTCGTCCAACTTTCTCAATCACTCATATGATTACAGACCGTGTTGGACTCTACTCGGTCCTATTACTATAATTAATTTACAACATAAACAATCCCATTACTGAAGTGATGAATCAACAACTCTTTGAACTCTCCTGAAAAAATTAGAAGGCAAATTGCTGATTCTAGCCATTTTCTTTCGCATTCTCTTGCGACACATGCCATGTCACAAGTTTCCGTAAATTAATAAAGTAATAAAACTTAAAGATATTTGCAAAAGGTTTGTTTACGAAGAATTATTGAATGTTACTCTCAAAAATGGGCATTCATTTCAGAATGTAAACTTCTTTCCCTTTGAAATCTATGACCAAAATCCGATCACCGAGCATTGTGGTAATAAGAAAACGTTGTCATGTTTGTCAACACATAAGCCATACGGCTGATTCAACTGTCCATTACCGTTTCCTTTTTCTCCAAACTTATACGAAAACTGTCCTCTCTCATCAAATACTTTCACACAGTTAATTTCGAGGTAAGTTACAATGAATTTGTCCACGTAAAAAATGCAAACGAGCGGATGATCCAGCCTTCTGGGCCACTGTCTCCAAACTTAAACACAGGTTCACCATCCATTGTAAACACCTGAATTCTGCTGTTCTCATACTCCGCTACAACGATAAAACATCCATCACTTGAAATACAAACACTTGTAGGTATCTTAAACTCTCCATCTCCACTTCCCTGTTTTCCAAATCTTTTCACAAAGTTCCCTGTCTGTACGTTCCACTGCTGTTATTCAGTGATTACATTCATCTACCACCAGAATTTCGTCATCGTCGAGGAATGTGACGTCGACTGGTTCGTCAAACTGTTCATCCATACGTTCAGGACAACCAAGTCGCACAAACTTTCCTGTGTCATTAAATACTAGAATACACTGTCCATCCAAATCAGCCACGGCAATAACAACTTTAATTTTCACTGCAATGCCAGCTGAACTCGGAGGCATTTCTCCCGGAAAGTCCAACTTGCCCATAGTATTTAACTCTCGTACATTTAATAGAAATGAGAACGGAATTCTGACAAGTTTCTATCCATTTATCTTTACTTCCATTCTATAAGTACCTAGTACTTTCGCTGAAAAAATTTTCCTGGAAACGTCCATCTTGTTTATCACTCCCCTCCAAACTCCTCACCTGATCAGCAGGGTCCATGTGTATTTCAACACGATCTGTGTGCTGAGTGTTTCTGATCCTTCCTTCGCTTGTTTTGGGACAAATTAGTAGCTCTGCTTCCACACCAGCTTGGACTTCGAAGTCTTTACTCTGCAAATTGTCTTGCACTAGGGCTAAGACAATTTGTAGTTTTCATTCTCTGTTGGTGTTCCTTGATGAACTTCTTGAATTTGAGTATTATTGTTTATTGTTGGAGACATATGTTTCTTCACTCTGCTGTAATAGATTCAATAGCTGGTTCACCATTCTGTTGGTACATTTCCTCTTGACTTGCGTATTCCTGGTCCAGATTAGGTTTCAATTAGCGCTTTCATAATCCATCTTAAGGCTTGGCATTCCATTGCGGCAAGGAACATCGCGGAGAGGAGGAGAGAAGCCTTTCACTGACCAAATCAGAAATGGAAGAGGAGGGAGTGGATGCGGCCATAGCAGTATAGATTTTCCAACTTCTTACTTGTCTCGAGGAGCTTTCATTCAAAGCAACCCTCTCATTTCAGTACACGATAGAAAAAAGAAGAAGAAGCTATTATATTTTCAATTCTAATATGGGTTTGAAATTGTACCTTTCCATTTGTACAATTTTGGCTACAATCACAATTTTCAGACGGAAAACACTCGGTTTAGTACACTCAGTGTGGTTCGGCCTTCGGACGCCAAGATGAATGTATTATTGTTGCCTCAGTAAGATGTCACATGAACGTGAATCTGAGCAGCGATTGGTTACTGTTTTGTTTTGGTCTGGGTCATCCGAATCTGATAACTATCCCTAACTATTTATTAAAATAAAGCTTCCTCGTTGGCTGAGAAATAGATGCGATTTAGAGATAAAAGGTGCTATCGGTGAACAAATTGCACCAATGGGAGCCAGTCAGATTTTAAGGAACACCAGTGATTTATTGCATCCAAAATGGATATAATAAAAACTAATACCTTGTCTTTCCGTTTCCCCCCGTTTTTGAAACATTTTGAGTATGATATTTTTTTTCGATTTTGAGCTCCTCCCGCAGGGCGAGAAGGTTCATTTAAAAATTAAGGCCACCGATTCTTTTCATCGAAATTGCATAAATATTTTCTGCGCGGTAGCGTAGAACGGTTAATCATACATGTCCAATGTCGTTGTAGAAATCAATTTGGCGTCAATAA